TTCACCATGTAGACCAGGCTGGTCTTGAACTCCTGACCTCAGAAAATCCACTCCCCTCAGCCCCCCAAAGTGCTGGGATTACATGTGTGAGCCACTGCACCAGGTCATAAATTTTTAAAAGTAGGAATTGTAGTGATCATACATTCAATCATAAGCTTAATGATAATTTTAACTACTTATAAATTAATAAACATACCTGTCTACCTTTGAATCAAAGATTAATTAAAACTGAAACTTCAAGTTCTCTAGCAAGTCATTGAAATTAGAATAATTTAAACAAAATCCACAGGGCACAGCAAAATCATACTTAGAAAAAAATTATAGCCTTAAAAATTTTCAAAGTCTGGCCGGGCGCGGTGGCTCAAGCCTGTAATCCCAGCACTTTGGGAGGCCGAGACAGGCGGATCACGAGGTCAGGAGATTGAGACCATCCTGGCTAACACGGTGAAACCCCGTCTCTACTAAAAAAAATACAAAAAACTAGCCGGGAGAGGTGGCGGGCGCCTGTAGTCCCAGCTACTCGGGAGGCTGAGGCAGGAGAATGGTGTAAACCCGGGAGGCGGAGCTTGCAGTGAGCTGAGATCCAGCCACTGCACTCCAGCCTGGGCGACAGAGCGAGACTCCGTCTCAAAAAAAAAAAAAAAAAAAAAAAATTCAAAGGCTAAAGTTAAATATACTTTGGATTCAAGTTAATAAATTAGAAAAGGAGCAATAAAATTAACTGGACCTAGAAAAAAAGGAGAAAGGAAAAATAAAACCAAAACATTATTCTTTGAAAGACCAATAAAAAGGTAAGCTCTTAGGGGAAAAAGAGAAAATATATTTAGGATTAGAAATAAGATATAACCACAGATACAGAGGAGATCAAATTTTTCATAAGAGAATATTCTGTGCAAATTGATGGCAGCAAGTTTTCATTTTCTAGCAAAATTTCAATAGAACACTGATTAGAGCAGTTAAAATAGAAGAACTAAGGAAGATGATTTAAGGTCCTTTCAGAAAGCAACTTTCAAAGCAACTTTTATGACTGAAGAAGGCATAGAGGCTTCAGGGTGATTCCAAAGTAAACCACTCTAGAAGAGTAGTGACCCCAACACTCTTTTCTTAAACACTATAAATTCAATATTAGGATAATCTGGCCCAAGATTGCAACACCACATTGAATCTTATTGGGAGCCCTGGATTCCAGAACCTGCTCTGGGACAGATTAATTGGAAGATGCTGAGAAGATAACACTCTATGAGGATGTTGAGTCCCCTTGGAATCAGTATTCAGGACAGGTGTTAAATAAGCTTCAGGTAAATCCAGAAGGCTGAGTCTTCTTGGTTTCAAGGTCTCACTCGAAAATTCTAACAGTTTCTCAAGATGTGCAAATCATCAAATCTAGCCTTGTCAAAATCTGCATTTCTGAGTTATTGTTAGTATCGGCCATTTCTTGGGAAAGTGTCAACCTCATGTTCATATGATTATTGTTCAGATGGAAACATTTAAAAACTCATGAAAAGCAAAATTAATGATAATGCAGTCTCCAAGGTCAGAGTCATGCATTTCAATAAAAATCTACCTCCTTCCAAAACAAAAAGTGCCATTGAACTACAGTTTCTGGTGGGAGGTAGGAGGAGTAAATTAATGATCATATTCATCAAAAGGAGGCCTAGAGATTATGTATTGTAGGGGAATTGTTTTCTTAACTATAGTCTCACCACTGAAACATAAATGTGAATTATTGGACATTTAGAGTCAAGTGAGACACTGCAGCAGAGAAGTTACTTAAGAAGCTGTAAACTACTAATATGTGTGTTCTTTTAAGCTGCTGAATTTGTGGTAATTTTTTATGCAGCAATATAAAACTAATACTACCCCTGTACCTCTCCCTTCAAACTGTTCTCACTGCCAATACAGCCTCCCATCCCCTTCCTCTTCTCTCCAGATAGATAAAGTCTTCCACTTCTTAAGGCTCAGTTCAAACATTGTCTCTTCCAAGAACCCTTCTCTTAGCTCTCACCAAACCCTCTCCTTAGGCTCCATAGTATCTGTAGATACCTATCATTATATATACATTTCAATCATCATCACCTTAGATATATGCCTCCTTGACTGGATGTGAGCCCCACTGAAGCAAAGGGCCAAGTCTTTGTCATATTTACATTCTTAATGTCAAGTAAAATGCCTGCCACAATAAATGCAATAAATGTTTACGTGGTGGGTATGCATCTAAGCCCCCTAACTGTGTAGTTCGAATAAGTCAATATAATTACCAACTTTAAGCCCCCACTTCGCCAGGCTGGCAGGAAATTTACCCTGTCCCTTTCTTAGTTTGTCTTCCCCCTTCCTGGGGGTCATTTAAAAAGTCCAAGATCTCACACTGCATCAAAAGTGCTATGCATATGGGGCTCAGCCACCTGTCTGCTCATATTACTCCTAAGACTTCCACTGTCTCTGTCTACACATCCCCTCTAGTACTTCTGCAGCAGGCTTGGGAGGCAGGAATAAGATATATCACCCAACCATTACACCTTGAAGATTTTTTCTCATCCTGGGGAGCCCTTACAGAGACCCGGGCCTGGATCCCCTCTACTCCAGGACCACAGCTCTTGCTCACCTCTTTCTCCCTCAAGCCAAAGACCATCTACTTCTCCTCTAGGAGTGGGGCTACTTCTCCGAGACATGCCGTCCAAATCCTCAAGTCCCTTTGCCTCTTTTGCCTCCTTGACAAACTCTCTAAACTCCCAAGAGCTTAGGCAAGAAATCCATGCTGACTTTCTCTGCCTTCAGCCTTAAGAGGAATTTTCTCTGAAGTAATGAAGTCCAGATCTTCTATTTGAATGGGAGGAATGTAAAGGAAGGAATTATAAATACATGAATATGCACCTCCATATATTAACCAGTCTCTCTTTGGGGTTGACTGTTTACTAATTGATTGGCTAAATTAGAGAATGAATGACAATGATAGGCATCTAGGCAGAGGGAGTGTAAGTCACCAACAGAGTGCCAATCATATATCGTAAAGGAATCATAGTGGCAAACAGACCAATTCCTCTTGTGAACATAGGAGGAGCAATGGGAACAGCCTAGGCATATAAAATTTATAGATAATTTAGAAATGACCAGTTTAGGTGATCAATTTTGAAAGATTACATTCTTAAGCCTTCTCTAAAGTTACTTCTGCCTCATGTAAATTTCACCCTGAGGGACACTTTTTAAGCCCACTTGGTTTTAGCACACCTGAGGTGGACAGTTCTAAGCACACATCTAGCTTCCCATCTCAAGAGTCAGGGCTCCCTGTTGGTCGCCCCAAGCCTCTCCTAAGCCTTGGAGGACCACTGAGCCATGCCCAGGCTCATTCCAGAAGTAAATGGGTGTTAATACTTTGAAAATAGGTCACAGGAGTTGGTGGATAAATGTCCCAGGCTTCTGACATTCAGAAAGACAATTCTAAGGTTTATTCTACACAGTTCCTCAGGGATCCCAGGGAAGTGAACCTCGGTTGCCTGCAGTGGTAATCAGCTCAACTGCAAACTCTTTATTGGTTTTTCCCTTGCTCTCCATCTCACTTCTAACACACTCTGGCTTCCAGGAATCACTCCCAAATAAACTACCTGTCTCAGGCTCTGCTTTTAGAGGAAACCAGACTGAGACAATTCTCCATCCTGAGTATCTTTTCTGGAAGAGGTGCTAATGAAGAGTGACATACTCAAGAGGTAAGTCCTAGACTGAATAGAGGGGATGGGGAGGTGAAGTGGGGATGGATAACTAAAATAAGAAACTTGGGAAATCACCTGCAGAGCTGCCTCAATGAAGGGGCTGTAAATTAGCACATAAGACTTTGTATGTGCAACGTCTGGGCCAAGTTCAAGAAGAGGAATATGCTGCTTTCAAGATGAGAATATTGACAGGTCAGCGAGCATGGATGGATGGAGAGAATGCAAGCTAAGGCTCTGACAGTGCTGCTCTAGCAATGCAAATGCTGATGCACAGCCACCCTGTGACCTCACCCTCAGCCTCAAAGTGGGGCAGCGCGAGTAGAAGAGTGCTGAGGCAGCTCTCTGGGAAGAGGAACGGTGCCAGCATAAACTGAGAGGTATAAGCAACAAGACTGCTGGGAAAGATTAGAGCATCTAGAGCAAGTCAATGAGGTCATAGTCAAGGAAAGGGAGAGAAGGGGAGGAACGAGGTCAGGCGTTTCCAGAGCCCCTCCAGAGTGCTCAGCACTGAGCTGCAAACCTGACTTATGCAACCTGTGTTTCCCAGACCACACCAGTGGAGGGTTTAAAGTGGGCACATGTTGATAGAGAGAACCTACATTTAACCCGATCTTGCCCCTACTTGTTATTGTAGGAGTTCCAGCCCCCTATAAAGGCTTCCATATTATTTTTGCTATGCCCAGTGGGATCAAACATGTGCTTGACAACAAATCCTGGCATTCACCTTACAGCAATTGCCATTTTCTTTCTCTTTTTGTCTAATCACTGTGGAAAAAAAATGTTTACGAAGCTATGGAAAGACATGGGCACCACACTTGATCATTGCTTCTGGGATCCATCATCATGCTGCCTCCCACCAAGCCCAACCAGCACCTGGCAGGTTCTCTAAGCCTCAGTCCTTCTGTTGAGTATTGATGTCTCTGGAACATCCACTAGATATCACTGTTTCTATCAGAGACAACTTCTCTCTCCACCTAAGAAGCAGCACTATCCAGTGAGTTACTATGAACACCTCTGCTGGAGGCCAGCCCTCACATAGTGCCACTGCCATTTCTACCACCTCTGTGGTGTATTGTTAGACTCAAGGCAACATAGCATGGTGGTGTCCAGGCCAAAAGAGAAAGCATTCCTTTTCCTATTTATGATTTTCCATTTGGCTGGAGGTACAAGAAAAATAATAGTGGCCAATATATACTGAGTTTTTAATGTAAGCCAATGTGCTGATTGTACAATACTGGCTCCCTTCCACAGGTAACAACATCCTAATCCCCAGAACCTGAAAATATGTTATCTTACCTGGGAAATAAAGGACATTGCAGATATGAGTTTCAGATGGAGAGATTATCCTGGATTTTCTGGGTGCACCTGATGTAATCAGAAGAATCCTGTAAGTGCGATCTGGAGGCAGGAGAATCTGAATTAGAGAGAGATCTGAAAATGATATACTGCCAGCTTCTAATTTCAGATTTCCCACCTCCAAAACTGTAAGATACCAAATGCATGTTGTGTTGAACCACAAAGTTTGTGGTATTTGTTATAGCAGCCATGGGAAACTAATACAGCCCAGTCTGGGCCAAGCACCTTGCATGTGTTCCGGCACTCAGTCCTCTGAGGAGCCCCATGAGGGAAGTAGCACAATTAACATCACTTTGTAAGAGAGAAAACTGATCCCTGGAAAAACAGGTGAATTGTCCAGTCTCTCTGTCTGCTGCTGGCTACATACCCAGCACAACTTAACTCAGAGTCAGTGTTCCTAACTACTCCACAGCATGGTCTCCTGCCCAAGCAAGGGACTGTGCCTAGTGTTCTGTGGCATTTTCCATGAAGCAATGGTAGCGGGAGCATGCCAAGGACCCACCATTGCAGATTTACAGGTTGTGCCTTATCAGACCACAGTAAAATGCGGGGAATTCAGTCCCTCTCTGTTCCTACTGGCCTATGAATATTTCCTTTTCCACCCTTGTCCAGCCAAAGCCCTCTAAAGAAAAGTGGGGCTGTCATCACTGTCCCTACCTTCCACTTGACCCATCTTATCTTGACCAGTCATGTGCAATACGTGGAATTCTTTACTAAAAAGTCTAAGAGATCTCAGAATGGGAAGAACAAACATTGGAGCTTTATTGAACTTGCTATGATTTTGGAACTTTCAGGGAAAGGCCCTTTAGCATCAGACCTCCCAAAGGTGAGAGCCTAATGCTGGGGTTCCCTCTCTCCCACCTTCTAGTCAACCCTACCACCCTTCCATGTGATCCTGTCTTCCAAGTTCCCTTGGATCTGGGGCTCCCTCCCTTGGGACTCTCTGCCTCTCCTTATTCCTCCTTGCTATCACCTTGCAAACTGAATGCTGAAGCCTTTCTCTGCTCAGTCACTGCTGAACCTGGAGAGGACATCTGTGAGGCCTGGCCACAGGGTGAAGACAAAAGTACTGGTGTTGAATTTCAGCCCAGTCTCTCCACCAGTATGAGCTATAGGTGACTTCTCCACTGGTTTAGCTCACTGAGGAAAGTATAGTCATTCCTAGATTCAGCACTGCCTAGCCTGATATGAGGTAAGGCTTTCTCCTGACAGCAGGGCTGTGACTATTCATTGTAAACCACCCTTTCATCCGTGGGCTGAGGATCATTTGGCACTGTCCCAGGTCTAATGTAGAAGAACCACTTGGACCACTATTAATATAATGGATTTACATGGACATCTTGGAGAAGTGACACGACACGACCTTCGATTCTGTAGGAGAAGGGCAGTTGAGGGACAGGAACGAGGCTCTGCAGTTCATCCTAATGCACCCTTCCTCCAGCTCTTCCTTGCAGGCTGGGCCAGGAGACAATTGAGCTGCAAACATCATGCTGCCCTGAGCTAGGGCCTTCAGTTCTGGGCCAGACTTGTCTGCCTGATTGCTTCGAACCTGAGACTGTGCTCTCTCCAGGTGGAAGTTCCTATCTCCTGAGCAAACAGATGGCCAGAGGCCTTGAGAACATCAGTAAAGCTTTGAAGTTTCTCGTAAAGGTCTTTAACCTTGCACTTCTTGGAAGGTAGAGAAACTAAACCTTTTGTTGTGGCTATTGCTGCATTAGTGGGGACTGCTGTTTTTAACCACTCTGATGGTTCTCCAGGCCTCTGTTCCCAGGGATACTGATGTTTCTACACTAAGCAGCCCTGAGGGGTGTGTGTGTGACCTTTTTTCAACACCGAGAGAACTCTTTGGGTTATTCTTTTTGTTTGTTTGTTGGTTGGTTTTTGGAGACAGAATTTCACTCTTGTCGCCCAGGATGGATTGCAATGGCGCAATCTCGGCTCACTACAACCTCCGCCTCCCAGGTTCAAGCGAGTCTCCTGCCACAGCCTCACGAGTAGCTGGATTTACAAGTGCCTGCCACCACTTCCAGGCTAATTTTTGTATTTTTAGTAGAGACAGGTTTTTGCCATGTTGGCCAGACTGGCCAACGTGCTCAGCCTCTGTGGGTCATTCTTAACCTCAGCCCTGTCTAGACCTCCCACATGAGAATCAGGCCCCACAGGGACCTCCTACTGGCACCCTTGCTCCTTAAGCAGTGAAGCCACTGTCCTAGCCAAGCCTCCCTTGAATGCTATGGAATCTCCTTTGGAGCCCTTGAGGTGAGGAGGAGAGGAGCAGTAGCTCTCCTGAGCTCAAAAGTATTATCCTGAGGTTGAGGCCACATGAGTTGGGCACACAGCCTTTGCCTCCAACCCATCTCTCTTTCCTCCCCATGAGTCCTCAGGTTCTTCTAATTGGCCTCATCCCTGAAAACCATCCAGCCATTTCCCACCCACCAGCTCTGACCCTTACTCCCAAGCCAAAGACAGGACAGAATGGAAGAGGGTCAGTTCCTGACCAGGGACTTGGGTGTGCCCTCCCCACCATCCTGCAATGTGAGGTGCAGGTTGGCAGGAAAGAGATGGCGGCAGGCAAAGTGGGCTGAACAGACAAGAGGGTCGGATGGAAGACCATGAAGGTCCAAGGAGGGCAGCAGGGAGATGGAACACAGGGAAAGGTGGGCTCATCCATGCCAGATACTAAGTGCCCATGCTGGGAGCAGTTTCTTACATTCTAGCATAAACTTGGGAGTGCCAGTGAGTTTATTCTCAGTTACTACACCCTGCCCTCAAAATCACCTCAGATGACTGACCTCAGGTCCTAACCCCTTGTGTGGGGCATGATCTGGGGAACTGATTTGGCATATTTTCTTAGGCATGATTCTTATACACACAACCATGAGGGAAGACTGTTATCAGTTTTCTGTGGCTGCTATAACAAATTATTACCACAAACTTGGTGGCTTAAAGCAGCTCACTCTTATTCACTTACAGTTCTGGAGGCCAGAAGTCAGAAATCAAATTCACTTGCCTAAAATCATGATGTCAGTAGCACCACAGTCTCTCCAGAGTCTGGCGGGCAGAGAACCTGTTTCTCCACCTTTTCTCACTTAGAGGCTGCTACATTCCTTGTGCTCCTGGACTCCGTGGTCCTTTCCTCCATCTTCAAAAGCAATTGTGTGGCATCTTCACATCTCTTCCTGCTTCCATTATGGTCACGGTGTCTTCTTCCTCTTCTGTGTCAAATATCCCTCTGCTTCCTTCTTAGAAGGACTCTTGTGATTTTATTTAGTGCCCGTTCAGATCACCCAGGATAATATCCCCATGTCAAAACCTTTCACTTAACCACATCCACACAGGACCTTCTTCCATATAAGGTAACATTCCCAGATCCCAGAGATTAGGACTTGGTTATCTTTGAGGGCTATTATTCAGCAGTCATAGAGGCCTCCCCACCTCCCTCTCAGGCCTGGAAAGGGGATCAGATTCATGAGAGGATTGGTTAATAACGGCAGGATTCAAACTTGTGTCTTTTGGCCTCTGAAGCCCAAGCTTTTCCTACACCATCATATTGCTTCTTATGAAATAGTTGTGAACTTCTATATCTAGGGGTTTAGACATTTACCCAGGATCCCCAAAATGGAAATAGATTCCCGAGCTCCAGAGCCCCTTAGAAGCAAGTGCCTACTGCCTGCCCTGAGGGTACAGGCCCCCCCACAGTCCCTCCTGTGGCCACAGCCATCTGCCAGCTCCCTGCAATGCAGGCTAAGTCATTCCAAACCTCTAATGGTCATGGGAAGAGGGACTGGGTGGCCAGTAGAGCTTCATCACGCCTTAAAAACACAAATGGTGTCAGTTACCCTACGAGGTGTGGGTCAGGCGTAGTGTTTTCACCGAGGCAAGAGAGCACGTTATACTTTATAAAAATACCTGTGTCGGCTAAATGCTAAGTCAAATAATACTACAGCCATGGTGCCGCCTTTTTTGTGTGTCATCACATGTAAATCCTCATTTTATTAATCTCACATGCATTCTACTTACCTCTCTAAGTCCTTCCCAGAGCTGCAATTTTTGCCATCTGTGTGAACAAAGCAAATGCAAGCAGTGTCTAGCTTACAGTTACTCGGAATTTCCAGTAAACATAAATTCACATGGATTCTAAGAGCTTTTTCCTGCTGCTATTGTTGTTATACAAAGACAACACAGATTGACTCATAAATACTGTTGCCTAAGATGAATCTCCAAGCAATGCAGGGAAGTGTTGGCAATAATATTCCATTCTGAAGGGATTGTTTTTCCATCAGCCAGGTGTACTTAGCTTTACAGGAGAAGCATTCCTAAAGAGTTGACTATACTGTTTATTTTGTAAAGCCAATCTCATTTTAACATTGATTTCCATTATGTCAGAGACGTTCTCCCAAATCTTTTGCTATTATTGCTTAGTTGTGATGACTGTGCAAACGAGCAGAAAGGAAAAAAGTGAGTTTCTTAAGGACCAGCTGCCTACCTGGAAAGGACAGTCTAGCAAACAAGCAGCTTCAAGCTGCAGAACACTTCTAAGTCACTCCTAGGAAATGACCTAAGGCTGCTTCCAATTCAGACAACTTCGATTCCTGCGTACTCTGTGAATTTCACGGTGAGATGAGGGGCCATAGCCATGTCACGGAGATCTAGCAAACCAAGGCATGCTTTTGTTTCAGCAGAGGTGCAGGGGCCGAGGATGGCTCAGAGGGTGCAGGAAGACATGTGGGGCGCCTGTCACCATGACCAGATTCCTTAAATTAGGAAGGCAGAGGGGCACAATGGAAGGAATTGGAAATTGGTAAAAGATCCGATGAAGATGAAATGCAGATTCCATTCTGGCCTAGGTGCTCATCCTCAGGCAACTCAGATACATCTCTGAGCCTATTCCCCATGTGTAATAGAAGGGTAAAAATACTTACCTAGCAGGTGGTTGTGAGGATTAGACATAATCTAGAATAGGGATAGGCAAATTTTTTCTGTAAAAGGCCAGATACTAAATGTTTTAAGTTTGGGGGGATATGTGGTTTCTGTTACAACTAAATTATGCTATTGTAGCACAAAAGCAGTCATAGACAGTATGGAAATGAGTGGGTGTGGCTGTGTTCCAATAAAACTTTATTTATAAAAATGCACAGCAGGCTGGATGCCACCCAAGGGCCATAGTTTGCCAATCACCTCATCTAGAATGTGACTACTACACACCCCCTGGTTGGGGTCCTGGGCCTGGGCCCATTGTCCTCAGATCCATTCCTTGTCCTCCTGTGCACCTCTCTGGATCACTGTTGGGGTGGAGCAGGGAGGCCGACACTGCAAACTACAATTCCCATCCTCTCTTGCCTCAGTGAAAACAATACTCCTGACCTACTCCTTGTAACTGACACCATTTGTGTTTTTAAGGCCATGATGCTGTACTGGATGGATTTAGGAGATGGATTTAGCCAATAGGAGACGCCAGTAGGAGTTTGGAGGTGGGAGAGCTCTTTGGTCAGCCTGCAAATACAGCAGGGCTAGAGCGCCCCTCCCTCCGCAGTCCCAGGAGGACCGTTCCTCACTTTTCCTCCACTCACCTAGGGGTGGTAGTGACTAATCTCTGGGCAGCCTCACCATGGCTTTCTAGCTCTCCTGGCCTCTTTGTAACTAGCTCCCCATATTTCAACTGTGTCTATTGAACTATTTGTGGCTTGAGCGTTTCCATTTTCTGACTGGACCCTGACTAAAAGTTTGATGCTCTCAGGTTATTCATCTTAGCACTCTGAATGTTTTTAATTTTATGAGGTAACATTTCAGCATTATAAATGTCTGCAAATAGGTTCTTATACAGTTTTTATAAGAAAAGCAGAATCTTAGTCATTTAGTCAACAAGAACATAATAAGCACCTGCTGTTTGCCAGGCCCTGTTCCGGACTCTAAGAATACAATACTGAACCCAGAAGTCTGCAGTCTAATGAACTCGTTGACTTTATCCATCAGGTACCCAACCCAAATCTTCATATTACACACGACAAAAAAAAAAAAAAGATGCAAAAGATAACCATAGCTAATGTTTATGAGGATTGCAATTTCTTCTAGGCTCTCCATTAATCATTTTGCGTAAGATAACTCAACTCTCATGACAGCCCAATGATGTAAGCAGTATTATTATCTCCATTTTACAGTGAAAAAACAAAAACACCGAAGCATGGAAATGAAGTAACTTGTCCAAAAATATACAGCTCGTAAGTGACAGAGCTGGGATTTGAACCCAGGCATTCTACGTTCATGTCTCAAGTCCTTTCGTTTTTGTTTTTTTTTAAATATAAGTTATAGGGTACATGTGCACAATGTGCAGGTTTGTTACACATGTATACATGTGCTATGTTGGTGTGCTGCACCCATTAACTCGTCATTTACATTAGGTATATCTCCTAATGCTATCCCTCCCTCCTCCTCCCACCCCACGACAGGCCCTGGTGTGTCATGTTCCCCTTCCTGTGTCCAAGTGATCTCATTGTTCAATTCCCACCTATGAGTGAGAGCATGTGGTGTTTAGTTTTTTGTCCTTGCAATAGTTTGCTGAGGATGGCTCCCAGTTGCATCCACATCACTACAAAGGATGTGAACTCATCCTTTTATATGGCTGCTGTCAGTTTGCGAAAGATCAGATGGTTGTGAATGTGTGTGATTATTTCTGAGGGCTCTGTTTCTGTTCCATTGTCTATATCTCTGTTTTGGTACTAGTCCATGCTGTTTCAGTTACTGTGTAGCCTTGTATATAGTTGAAGTCAAGATAGCATGATGCCTCCAGCTTTGTTCTTTTGGCTTAGGATTGACTGCAATGTGGGCTCTTTTCTGATTCCATATGAACATTAAAGTAGTTTTTTCCAACTCTGTGGAAGAAAGTCATTGGATGTAGCTTGATGGGGGGATGTAATTGGAATCTATAAATTACCTTGGGCAATATGGCCAGTTTTCACAATATGATTCTTCCTATCCAATGAGGCATGGAATGTTTCTTCCATTTGCGTTTGTGTCCTCTTTTATTTCATTGAGCACGTGGTTTGTTAGCTTCCTTGAAGACGGTCCTTCACAGTCCCTGTAAGTTGGATTCCTAGGTATTTATATTCTCTTTGAAGCAGTTAGTGAATGGGAATTCATCATAATTGGCTCGTCTGTCTGGTTTATTGGTGTATTAAGAATGCTTGTGATTTTGCAACATTGATTTTGTATCCTGAGACTTTGACTGAAGTTGCTTATCAGCTTAAGGAGTTGGGGGGCTGGAGACGAATGGGTTTTCTAAATATACAATCATGTCAATCTGCAAACAGGGACAATTTGACTTCGTTCTTTTCTAATTAATACCCTTTTTCTTTTCTACTCCTGATGATTGCCCTGGCCAGAACTTCCAACCATATGTTGGATAGGGAGTGGGTGAGAGAGGGGCATCATGTCTTGTGCCAGTTTTCCAAAGGGAATGCTTCCGATTTTTGCCATCAGTATGAAATTGGGTGGGTTTGTCAGGGATTATATAGACTGCTTGTTATTTTGAGATGACTTGCATCGGAAGTTACTAGGTTTATTGAGAGTTTTTAGCCATGAAAGGCTGTTGAATTTCTGTTAAACGCACTTTTCTGCACTTACTTGAGATAATCTGTGGTTTTGTTTTGGTTTCTGTTTATATGATGGATTACGTTTATTGATTTGCATATGTTGAACAGCCTTGCATCCCAGGAATGAAGGCCCTTGATCATGGCTGGATAAGCTTTTGGATGTGGTGCTGGATTCAGTTTGCCAGTATTTTATTTGAGGATTTTTGATCGATGTTCATCAGGGATATTGGTCTAAAATTATCCTTTTGTTGTTTTGTACTCTGCCAGGTCTTGGTATCAGGATGATGGTGGCCTCATAAAATGAGTTAGGGAGGATTCCCTTTTCAAGTTTGATGGAATAGTTTGCAGAAGGGAATGGTACCAGTCCTCCTTGTACCTCTGGTAGAATTCGACAGTGAATCATCTGGTCCTGGGACTTTTTTGATTGGTAGGTTATGTAATTATTGCCTCAATTTCAGAGCCTGGTTATTGGTCGTATTTGATGATTCAACTTTCTTCCTGATTAGTCTTGGGAGGTGTATATGTCCAGGAATTTATCCATTCTTTCTGATTTTCTAGTTTATTTGCATAGAAGTGTTTAAGTATTCTCTGAAGGTAGTTTGTATTCTTGTGGGACTCGGTGAGGTGATATTCCCTCTTATCATTTTTTTATTGGCGCTCTATTTGATTTTCTCTCTTTTCTTCTTTTATTAGTCTTGCTCAGCAACTATCAATTTTTGTTGTATACTTTTAAAAAAAAACCGCCTCTGGATTCCTTATTTTGAAGGGTTTTTTGTGTCTCTATCTTTTCAGTTCTGCTCTGATTGTTTTTCTTGCTTCTGCTAGCTTTGAATGTGGGTTGCTCTTGTTCTCTGAGTTTTCTTAATTGTGATGTTGGG